AGATCTTGTTATTCTTTTTGAGGATGGTCCTCCTGGCATTGTAGGAGAAGGGTTCCTAGAGGCTGGTGTTTTTGCGCCGAAGCTCATGCTTTGTGGTTTTTCCGGGGGTCATTTTCTAATTTTTTAGTGATAATGGATGGTTTTGTAGGGGTACTTTAAAAGTTTCTAGGTTGTTGTTGGCTCTGGCTTTGACGCTGTTGGGCATCGTTAGTGCTGTTGGGCGCTGTGTTTGACTAGGGTTTTTCGGGGTCCTGGTCGGGGTGCCAATTGGTGTGGGACCAAGAGGTTTTTTTTTTTTCCCTCCGTTAGCTTGATAGGCGAGGGTTTAGCTATCGATGACTCAGACATCACAGTCTGTGAGGTCGAGGCTTCAGCTGTAGATAGAGTGGATTCAGAAGCGCCCCTGTGGGCGTGTTGTTGGGTAGGGAATTATGCGTGGCAGGTGGCATTGCTTGTCGACTGCCTCGCCTCTTTGTCTCCCTTGCCGGTGTAGAGACTCGATCCTGAGTAGCCTCACAATGGCATATATTGCACTGTAGGTCGAGTCTACAATACTATGAATGCAACGCGACACTAGCGCGATAAACGCGACGTTTCGCACGATGCGCGCAACTTAAGGCGACACTTCCGCGACATAGGCAACACTTGCGCGACTTGCGCGCGCTTTAGGCGAATTTTCCCGCGCCTAAGCGCTATAGGGCGCCTGACTTCCCACTGGTTTTCCCCTGTCCAACCAAGTTCCCGGTATGCATTTCTCTCATTATCATTTATTTCAACATCGTACCATGTTTATTTTTACTTGGTACACATTTTCATTACACATTTTTTACTTAACACAAAACATTACCACGGACGATCATCATCATAGACAGTCACATCTCCGAGTTTTTATTATGTTTTGAATAAATCATCGCAAGCCCTAGTAGCAGTTAGCTCTAGTGGCCATATCCGCATCAGTTGTCTCATCAGCATCTCAGTACACGTCTTAACATCTCACTATCGCTCGCATACCGCTTTCACCCAGTTCCGCTTTCGACGCGCGACTTTCCCGCGCTTCGCGCACCTATAGCGCCTTTGTTCCCGCGCTTTCGCCTTATCACGCGCTTTGCACATTCCCCCTAGAGTTGACCAGTGGATATTTGCTTTCTCCCGCTTCCCTAAGGGACGAACATATCGCACTCATATTTTCCTCCCTTCAACAATTATATCAGCTGCACCCTCAGCTGAGTTGAAGATCCTTCACCGGGCCCGCCGTCTAAATGAGTGGATCAGCGTGAATTTGATCAATGAACAAACAAAATGTACATGCATCACATTCGTGTGTGGATTTTGCCTGGTTGTATGAGTGTCACCTCCGATGTGCTCGTGTCACAGTGATTGTCGAAGCCGGCGTCATCCTCTAAAGATGAAGTGCCGTGAGAGAAACAGCCATTGAAGTTGGTATCCTGCATGCTCCAGCTATGCAGCGCTGTGGAATGGTAAGCGATCAGTGAATGAAAGTATGAGACACTTACAGGTGCTCATCTGAGTGGGAAGTGCGCTATTGGTATCACCTTGCCAACCTGCACTGGGCGCATGCTTGTCGAAGGTGAAAGAGCTCATCTGTGGTTGTTCAGTAGGGATATGAAGCTGGTCAGTCGCCGGTTCGCCCAATGGATTGAGGCCAGAACCTCGCGGTGGTTTCAGAACCTTGGCCTTAGTTTTTCACTGAGGGCCACGTTCTCTAGGAATTCAAAGTGGGGGAGGATGTGAGAACGCATGCATGCATTTAAGTTGCCAATCGATGTAATAGTACATAGGGGGAAAAGAAACACAAACTTTACATGATCTTTACAAACCGGGAATGTGTGGCAGGCTGATAAGGTGATTTACAAACAAAGCAAGGTGATTTACTAATGAAGCGTAAAAAGAGGGGGGGGCATGGTCCAATAAGGCGATTTATGAACAGCAGAAAAAGATCTATGAACGGCCGGAGCAGGCGAAGCAACTTATTGAATGGTCGAAGCAGGGCAGTACCAGTTGATATAATCTATGAACAGTGACATGACTGAATTGAATGTCACTGATATAGATCAGTGTGAGTACCATGAATCACTTGACAGTCACATACCATTGATATGTCACAACTGCATGCCGCATGAGCGCTGCTGGCCTGGCCACCTGTTGCAATCATCATCTTCGCTGAAATTGCTATTGATGTCAGTATCGGTGTCGGTACTGGCATCTGCAAACCACTACGCAGCGCACGTGTGAT